TGGGGAGGGGGCACAGGCATCCAGCACTCCGGTGGGGAGGGGGCACAGGCATCCAGCACTCCGGTGGGGAGGTGGCACAGGCATCCAGCACTCCTGTGGGAAGGGGGCACAGGCATGCAACACTCCGGTGGGGAGGGGACAGGCATCCAACACTCCCATGGGGGCACAGGCATCCAACATCCCTCCCACGGGGGCACAGGCCTCCAACACCCCGGTGGGGAGGGGACAGGCATCCAACACTCCGGTGGGGAGGGGGCACAGGCATCCAACACTCCGGTGGGGAGGGGGCACAGGCATCCAACACTCCGGTGGGGAGGGGGCACAGGCATCCAACACTCCGGTGGGGAGGGGGAACAGGCATCCAGCACTCCTGGAAGTGTTGAAAGCTGAAGAGCCGTTTACCGGCCGCTGGAGTTATGAATATAATACCTCTTATCTTACAGGGAGCCCACCTCTTATGGCGGGGTTGGTGTAAAGGAACCAGAAAGCTCTCCAATATAGCCCTTCAAAGCAAAGTAGAACCTTCTTAGAACATAATTTCCATCACAGATGAAAAGCACAAGGGGTTTTGTTCCTCAGGTGCCCTTTCACATGTTTGTCAAGCTGCTGATTCTATTGGCTTTACTGAAAAATTCTGCAGCTGTTTACAGAGCTTAGGATCTCAAGGTCGAATTTCCACAACTGAATGAGTGACATCATTGACCAGTTCCCCTTTCTCCCTGCCTGCTGTTCACATGGGGCTGTGTGGAGTTTCAATGAGATAGAGACAGTCTGAAAGCAAGCAGCTTCTACTGTTCTCTGTCATTAGATACCCCCTAATGTCCTGTGACACCAGTGTCATGGGTGCACTAATAATAATTAATTGATTATCTGTAAAATAAAGATTTCATGCCCGTGGATCTAGATGCACAGTTCTCACCATGGCACAGAGGAATTTTTTGCATAGCTCCACACACAACATATTTAATAAACCGTTATGTGTTGGATCCGAGATGGAAAGGATGTTTTCACATGCTCAGCATATGTTTCACTTTAAATTTGGACTTACCTTCCCTTCATAATTACTCTGCTCACTGCTATGTAAGTTCCTGTTGGATTCCAGTCACAGGTAACACTCTCTCCTCTATGGGACAGTTCTGGACCAATCACAAACACAGATGGAATTTAGTCACATGATCCTGATGCCCAGAAGTCCTCTTGTGGCCAAGTCATTTTGAGTAGAGACTTCCTACCTCAATGAACTGCTGCCAATCCAAGTGCTCTTTTCTTGCTGAGCCAAGCAACTAAACACAGTTGCAATCCATATATGTGTATTGATTTATTAATAATTCTGTTCGGCAGGTTTGGTGATCCGGGTAACTCTTGTCAGACAACACAGCCAGGTCACCATACTCCACAGCAGTTGCATGGCTTGGTCAAGAACGCCCCCCCCCCAAGAATGCTGATTGGACAATGAAGGAGCAGCAACATACTAACAAGTACTCACTGTGCCTTGTTTCAGCGTGTTCCCCGTCAGCACAAGTGGACCGCAATGGAGACTGATCGGACTCTTGTGCTGCCCTTTCCTGTCCCAGTTACAGGAGGCTAATATGAAGACAAATTCAGGTATTTTTACTAGCTGCATTTACAAACACTCTTTTTATTGAATACATGATTGCATTAAATGGTGTTTCTTTACCTGTCTGGAGTTCAAGCTTACAGTGCAGTTACCTAGAGGTGCTCACACCTGCAGCACTTTTCATTGCGTGCCATATAGTTGGGGTCCCTGCACTCAGAGGAAATACACTTAGCTTAGTAAACGAGGCGACGTAGTTCTTAGCTCAATCATCCAATCATGAGTGAGCCAAATATCCATTTAGTTTTTTTGGGATTTCTTTCCTTCCGCGTGATTGGAAAGTGAATTTTCACCTGGCCTTAAGCAGTGTACGGTCAGCTTTAGCCTATTGACTAAGCTAAGGGCTAATTCACTTTGCATAGTGAACATGTAAAAGTTTCACACCAAAGAGATCCACCACATGCCACTTGTCTTCACTGTGGCTAAACTTTATTGAAGCTCACGATCACACTGTTGCCCCCACCTCCGGACTGCATACAGCTGACCCGCTTCACCTCACGGGCCTAATCATAGAGAATTGGTGTGAGCAGTGGCGTCACAAGGGGGGTGCGGGGGCTGCGGCCCGCACCCGGGTACCACCATTGGAGGGGTGACACCAAAATAACTGACAGTCATTTTAGTGTCACCCGATTCTGAAAAGTCGGGTACTCGGTCATTGACCGAGAGCCCGACAGTGTCAGGGGGGAGGAGGGGACCCGACGGCATACCTCATCCTGCCGGGTGAACGTCCACTCCCCTCTCTGCCGGTGTCTAACACCAAGATGGCCACCGGCAGGTGTCAATAAGATGACAGCGCATGCGTGATGACGTAATTGCGCATGGCGAAGTCACGCGTATATGCGGTGATGTCACCGCGGGGTGTTACCCTGTCCCCACTCCGGCCTCAGGACACCCCTGGGTGTGAGAATTGGAATGGTGATTTTTCCTGCATGGACTACAATGTAAAAGGTATTTTGATAGGCACACAATGAGTTATTATCTAGTTGAATGATACTGCTGATCCCCCCACTCATGTATACCTTTGCTGTGCCGCTCCATTGGAGCCTTAGGGAAATATACAGAGCTTCCTGGTATTAGAGGTGACCTACTCTTCCTCCAATCCCCAGACCTAAATATTGTCACATGTGGGAGGGGAGGAAGTCATTAAACCTGTGTGAGCTCCTACAGCATCGGACACGTAGCTGACCAAAGGTTTGGGTTGGCGAATTGAATGGGCACATTGACAGAGTTTAACTTTCAGGTACGTTGGACACCCATAAAGAAATGGCTGAGGGTCAGGAAAGATGGCTTTTACAAAAGAAGAGGACAGGTCAGGAGCTAATGGGTAGATTTCTATATACTTGTTATACAGGGGGTATTGGACTCCAAGGGAAGAGGTGACATAAACCAGAAAAGCTATAGACATGAAATGTTCCCCGAATAGGGGATCCCACCATTCATCACAAACTCAAGATCACAATTGTGTACTAGATATTGCACATAAGTTTATTTAATCTAAATATAGTTAAAATCGGAGTATGTCAAAAAGTACAAACAAACATATAAATACATATGAAAAAGTGAATGACTGCATCCTGCCTATAATACAATAGTGGGTATGCAGAAAAATCCTAAATAGTTAGGAGACATGCCGTATAAAAGTCTGATATATCAATACGTAAAAACGAGAAAAAAGGCTGTCAGTGAAAAAAGGGTTCAGATGTTCAAGGGATTTCCAGGTGGATAAGGAGATTGCCCTTGATTGAAAAACGAGGAAACAGCAATTTCGAGGTTGTAGCCAAAGGAGAGGCATATACTGATGGTATAAGAGCGACCAATACGGAGGCCTTTGCGATGAAAACAGCAATCAATAAAGATATATGGAAAGAGTATAACTCACGGTCCGATGCTCCTTAGTTTCAAAGGTCAACTTTGAAACTAAGGAGCAAGCCCCGTTTGTGGGAGGGGCGAAAACGCGTCACTGGCGTTCAGCTTGGTTCCTTTCAGTGACTGCTCCGCCTGAGACATGCCTGTAGCCTCAGAGTCTTACATTATCCTTCAAGCCCTTTACAAATTGGCTCAGTGATTATCAACCCATCTATCGGAATTCTATGGGGAAAAAACGAGCTTCCAGTTAAAGTATATCCTGACGGAGATCAGTCAAGTCGAGGCAAAGTCATCTTTGACACTTTACACCAACATCTACGGAGGCTTTCCATCCAAAGAACGATTACTTCTCTTTCTCTATATCAAGTGCTGCCAAATTCAAGGAGATATATATACGAGAAATTCAACACAGCTATTCAGTTAAGGCTACGATCTATAACATCCATCTTACTAGCCGAGGTAACAACTGCACCTCCTGATACCTGTGTTTCCTCTCAGTCTACTATAACAACAGGAACCCACCATCTACCCTCCAAAGTTGACCTTTGAAACTAAGGAGCATCGGACCGTGAGTTATACTCTTTCCATATGTAGCCCCTATAGATATAGATATATGTGTTCATGTGTATATGTGCGATCACAGTGATTCATGTTCCTGACTGTGAATAGTTAATAGTTAATCAGCTATAAATACTGATATTGCTTCCTAACTTAAAAATAGTGCATGACAATGTGCAGATTATAATGTGCATTTCTTAATCTTTCTTTTTGTCTGTGGCAGGTATCCGACTAGCCTGACACGCGCGGACTGTTGTCATTTGTCCTCTGGCATGTCATTTGTCCTCTGGCATGTCAAACGAGGGGGCGGCCCTTGAGGTTGTGGCGGATGGGGTTAATAGGCCGCAGGCGTGAGTGAAAGTCCACACCTGCCGACTAACGCTCGGAACACCTGTGTCCGATGCGTGTAATTCGGAGGTGGGGGCTACTTAAGGGGAGGGATCAACTGGGTATAGGGTGGAGAGCCTACCATTCGGAGCAGTGAGCCGAGGATAGCACACCTTTACACAACTGGGACTCAAATTAGGTAATTTCCTTCCTTTTTCCTTTTTTTTTAAATATTTGATTTTGGTTTGACACACCTTTTAAGTTTTCAATCATGTTTTTGTGTTTTTTATGGGAACCCTATACACCAAGGAGTACCAATTAGGAGTATCCATTTTCATTTAGGATTTGGGACACATATATACAATTAATTTTACACATGGTCTACCATATCTCTCCATAAACCCTTTTCCTCCACGTTTTTTTCTTCATATACTATTTACTGGGGGAGAGATCAATGAAAGGAGCTAGGGTGGAGGCGACCCACATAATGTTTCCCAACCTATAACCTGACCTATAAATTAATTATAGTTTATTTCCCTAAACAGTGTTTCCTGAGTGCTGCGATACCTCCCACCAAACATAAGGATGTCATAAAGCATAGTGGATCCATAAGTCATTGGCCTCTTTTCTGGCAATGATGGGTGTACCGAACACAACTGCCGTCACGGAGTTCCTTCTTGCGGGATTAACAGACAACTCAGATCTGAAACATATTCTGTTCACCTTTTTCCTTGTTATTTATACCCTGACTTTGTTTCAGAACATGGGACTTATAGTGCTCATCAGTAGCAATAGTCAACTTCATACCCCTATGTATAGCTTCTTGTGCCACTTATCCCTTCTTGACATATGCTACTCTTCGTCAGTTTCAATAAGGATGCTGATGGACTTTGTCTCAGACAAGAGGTCCATATCAGTAGCTGGATGTGGATTTCAGATGTTTTCTTATGCTGGATTTGGAGGAACCGAGTGCTTTCTCTTGGCGGCCATGTCCTATGACAGGTTCGTGGCCATATGCCACCCACTGTCCTACCTACAAATGATGAGCAAGCAGACAGTTGTGATCCTACTTGTGCTCTGCTACCTGGGGGGCTTCCTCAATGCCGTGGTTGAGACTTGTTTCTCGCTCTTGCACTTGGACTTCTGTGAACCACGCCCGCATATTCACCACTTCTACTGTGATGTCATTGCACTGATCGTGATTTCCTGTGGTGACACCAGACTCAATCAATTGATCCTCTTCTCCTTTGTGGGATTTATTGAGCTCTCATCTCTTTTAGTGATCCTGGTCTCCTACTTATACATCATAATATCTGTCGTACGTATCCGTTCCTCCACAGGGCGCAAGAAGGCCTTCTCTACGTGTGCATCTCATTTGACGGTGGTGACTTTGTTTTATGGAACGATCATTTTTATGTACCTCAGACCTTCAACGGCCTACAGCCCGGAGCAGGACAAAGTAATAGCTGTATTTTTCACTATAATTATTCCCTTCCTGAATCCTCTAATATACAGCCTAAGGAATCGAGACGTGAAGACTTCTGCCAAAAAATTGGGAGTTTCCTTAAAAAAAATGGGAAGCTTTGCTGTACTTTGACAGTTATAGAAGTATTCAGTGTTTGAAGGTAACAATATGCAAAGTATTTGATGGACTCATAAATTAGTGTCTATATGTCTGTAGCTACTAGCACACTTTCTTCAATTTGTCAGCTGAAATGATCACATTTATTGGAAATTTGGGGGGTTATTCACAAAACTGCTGAAGGTAGCCGAGTGAAAAACCCAGCTGAAGTGAGCTGAACTACGTTCGGCTATTTACTTCTGGCTTGTACGGTTGATTTCAGCCGTACATTGGCTGCCTTCGGCTGCACTTCAGAAAAAAAAAACAATTGGGTGAAGCTAGCAGTGACAGCTAGCTCCACCCAACTGGTTCCTATTGGCCGGCACCTGCTAGAGACTTCCCGGCCAATGAATAACAACTGGGCAACTCCGCCCAGTTGTTATTGTTTAATGACAGTTTAGCGTCCCGATTTGGGGACATTTGGGGACGCTGATCTGTCATTACAACTGGGCGGAGCGAGCCGTGAGATCATGGCTCGCTCCGCCCAGCTGTCCTTTGCGTTTTGAAAGGCCGGCCTTCGGCAGGCCGTTCACCCCGCTTTAGCTGTCACTTCGGCTCAGTCGAGCCAAAGCAAATGTCTTCGGCTTGGCTGAGCCGCTCCCGCACCTCCGGCTGCTGTATGAGCTATTGTGAATAGCCCGTACAGCAGCCCTTCGGTTCGGCTGAAACGAAGGGCTCCAGCAGCCGAAAATACCCGAAGGAACAGCCGAAGCTACAACTGGATCGTTCCGCTCCTTTGTGAATAGTCCCCTTGGAGTCAAATTCTCTTCAGGCTACACCCAGCTCATGATAGACTGAAGGGGGGAGGAGCTTGTGTAGAGGGAGGCCATTGAGGAGGGACTTGCAGTAGACGAGATGAGAGATAAGAAGGGAGTGGATGAGTGGCTTAATGGTCTCATTGGTGAGGAAGGGGCGTATTTTGGAGATGTTATAAAGGTGAAGTCAACAGGCTTTGAATAGTTAGATGTGGGGCAGGAAGGTGAAGTCGGAATTCAGGGTCATAGTTAAGACTTTGGCATGAGGGGAGGGAGGGATAGTTATCTGCGACCCTTGTGCTGGAATTTTTTCTCCACCAATTTTAGGTGGTGGCCTCTATGTATGTAAATATGTATGTAAATAAATGAGGCTCAAGGACACGAGGGGGTTGAGTTGTGGAGTCGAGAGGTATATTTGAGTGTCATTGGCATAGAAATGGTATTGGAAGCCGGGAAGCCGTGCAAGGTTATCGACATTGAGGGGAATTTTTAAGCCTTAGCCATAGACAGTTGTACAATGCACTGAAAAGTCTGAGCAGTCCATAGTCCATCCCATGATGTCCATCTGAGTCTGAGTCAATCCCATGATGTCCATCAGCAATTAGTGCCAATGGTGACCCAACATGGCACTGTACGGTGGTTTCGATTTTGATGGCTGCTTAAATGTTTGGAAAGACCGTGTGATTTATCCATGTTTGGGAAAGTAATACTGGAAAGCCAACATTCTGAAGTCAATGAACTTTGCCAGTATAAATGGTGCATGTTCGGTAATAGTTCTTCTGAAGCCCATCTTTAGATATAACTGGGAGGCATCAATCTGAGCCATCGAGGTACTTAACACCACTGCACTGCTGCCCCTCTTACGGGCATAGTCAATGACTGTTCTGCGCAAGGCCTTGGAGATCCCTTTCCCTCTATACTGTATTTTATGGGAACTGACAATCTCTTAAGCTCCACTTGGTTTTCTCCAGTGGGATTTTCCAGAGGGATGGCAGCGACCATCCCTACAATTTCCCCAGCCAGCTCCGCCACCCAGAAGCAGTAACCATCCCGCTCCAAGTAATATTTACGGATATTCATCATGTCGTTAGTCAGGCTATTCTGGACATAACTAGCATAGACATGCCTGTTGAGGAGCCATATTGCTGCTACACCAAGGGGCATCACCATGATGGAGAGCAGGTAAGACCCTGTAGTCTGTAGAAGAACCAAGAACAAGGCCAGCAGGAGAACCCAGATGTAAGGTAGACTGAGAGTGTGGAGGAAAGCAGTCTTGGAGTGTTCTTTAATGCCTTGGGAGAAGATATCTCGGACTGCCTCATAATCCGAGTCCTTGTACAGCTGAATAACGTAGTCAGGCATGGTCTCCTCCTGAAAAAGAAAATGAAAAGGTGAACATCATAGACGTCCTACAACTACATGGAGTGTTCATAGTCAAAGACACACGTGAAACCACATCCAAGACAATGGCGGTGGACATGACATTATGGTTTGAAAGGTCTTCACCTGCCAAGTGTGAATCTCCCCGGTGTTACTGTACCATATGAAGGAATGGGAAAGTCTACAGCAGGGATAGGCAACCTTGAGATTCCAGCTGTGTGAAACTACAAATCCCTCCATGCTTCGGCCTCTGCTAGTCATGTCTGTGACTGTCAGTCTTGTAGTTCCCTAAGAGCAGGAGTGCTGGGGTTGCCTACTTCTGGTCTATAGGTATGCATGCTCTATATTTTTTTTTATAGCTCACCTTCAGTCAAAACGTATTGTTTTAACCCCTTAGTGACCAAGGACTTTATTTTCCGTTTTTGTACCCATGATATAATCCACATTTTAGGCCTGAAAATTACTTCAACCCTCCCCCCACACACACACATATTATATATTTTCTGAAAGCCGAGAACCCTGTAGAATAAAATGTCGGCAGTTTAAAATTTTCATGTTGCACGATATTAGCCCAACTTATTATCAAACCCCAAAATGTAGTGAAAAATGTCCTTAAAAACGTCTCTGCCTGCCGACCGGTCTGACCTTGGCCTGCTTACTGACCATGTCTCTGCCTGCCACCTGAACTGACCTAGGGCTGTTTATCAACCACGTTTCTGTCTGCCGCCTGGACTGACCATTTGCCCACATACTGACCACATCTTTGCCTGCCCCCTGAACTGACCTTGGCCTGCATACTGACAACATCTTTGCCTGCCACCTGAACTGACCTAGGGCTGTTTGTCAACCACATTTCTTCCTGCTGCCTGTAAGTGACCCATCTGCATGCCCAACTGACAAAGTTCCACCCAAAACACCAGCTTCAGCCATCCTCTAAAGACAGCTGCACTCCAGGAACCACAGGTACTGTTTTGTTTACCTTTTGCCCTGTACTTCCTGGCCACTGAACATAGCATTGTGTATAATTCCTGGGGTTAGCCAAGTACCACAAGGCCTGCTTGCCTCTATATTAAATACCACGGAGCACTTTGAAAGCCTCATGGAGCTCCATGGTATTTACAGTCCTCTCTCTGTGGCTAGGCTGCGAAAAAGTCTCACGAATGTGGTATCCCCATACTCGGGAGGAGTAGCAGAATGTGTTTTGGGGTATAATGCAGAGTATGCTTATGCTATGTGTTAATATTAGCTTATTAATTTACAACTTTGTATAAAAAAACATTTTCTTTCTTAATTTTCTAAAAACTTGTTGAAAAAAGGTGACATCTTCAAAACACTCACCATGCCACTTATTAAATACATTGGGGTGTCTACATTCCAAAATGGGGTCATTTTCTGTGTGTTTCTATCGTCCTGGCACTCCAGTGCCTCCAAAAATGTAGTGCCTCCAGAGGTGCTCCTCCTGTGTCAGCCCCTTCTAAGTCCGTGTCCCCTGAGTCTGATCTCCCCCCTCTGAGCCTGTACCCTCAGATGCTAAGGTGCTAAGGAGGGTGCCCTTTCTTTGAGGGAGGGAAAAGGAGGTTGCCCAGTGGGGGTGGCAATGAGTGCCAAGCGTGGTGGTGCTGCTTCCTCTACAGAGATATCTTCTTCTAAAAAATCCAGAGAAGAGAAGAAGAAAGGAAGTGAGGTAATCCTCTCGGAGGCCGATCTCCAATATTTGGAGGAGAGGAGGAAAGTTGGGAGGCAAGGGAGGAGGCGCATGGATGGCTCAGATGAAGCAGGTGGAGGAGGCGCCAGTGCTCATCTCAAATCGGTATAGTGCCATCTCTAGTGCCGATGTCTCTTCTGGTGAGACCACTGATTCAGAAATGGAGTGTCAGGAGGCCTCAAGAAAAAGAGAGGCTTCAGGTGATGAGCAGCAGAGGGGAGCTAAGAAGCCGTCCACCCAATAACCCAAATGGCGGTTCCCCCTCCGTTGACAGTGGCGACAATTAATGTCGCCAGCATTAAGTCGGTAAGTGCTCGTTCTATGGCCTTCTTTTTGTTCAGCCAATTAGACGCTGAAATTTTATTTTTGCAAGAGACCAGGCTCACCTCCTTGGCTGACATTCATATTGCCAAGAGAGAGTGGAGCTACGGTCCATCATACTGGTCTCTTGCGGCTGAGCCTTACAGCGGAGTGGCGGTGTTGTTTAAAACCGGCATGGTAACTGTCCGGCAGTTTATTGAGTTGGAGATTGGGAGATGCATGGTCTTAGACGTCCTTGTGGGAGGGCATGACTTGCGCCTGATTAATGTATATGGGCCGCAGACTAAGTGGGACAGGAAATGCCTTTTTACAAGGATCAAGCCATTTCTTTTTACATCCAGACCTGTAGTCTTTGGAGGCGACTTTAATACAGTCACTAGGCTCAAGGACAGGAGGAGCCTCAGGAACAGGCTGGATTTTGATAGCGTTTTTTTAAATAGCGTGGTCAGGGATGCTAGTCTTGTGGGTGTGCACATTAAGCACCTCCCGGACAACACGGGGTTCACTTTTCATTGAGGTAATTTCTGTCTGTGGTCTTGAATGCTTCAGACTCCCCTCAGAGGGGCAAGGGCATCTGGAGATTGAATTTGATTCTTCTTTTTATGGGAAGTACCACTCTCCTGACCCTTACCAGAACTGCAAACGGGGTATAGCTGTTAAGACGGTCATTGGCCTTAGGGATAGTACAGGCTCCTTGACAAAGTCCAGGTCAGGGATCCTGGAGGTCGTAAGGTCCTATTATGCTGACCTTCTTGGGAGGAAAGAGCTTGACCGGGACAAGATGGAAAGCTTTTTGGACTCTACACCAGGTCTAA